TTTCTTTTTATTTTAGAATGCCGTGTTCCCATAATAATTTCCTATGTTTTTTAAAAAAAATATAAACTGACAAAAATGTGATAACTAGCCACTCAAAGCAAAGAACTAAAAAAGATAAAAACCGGAGTACTTAAAGGAATTCCCCCCCCCCCCCCCCCCCCCCCCCCCACATCCATTAGCATCTCGCGAGTACACTGAATACTAATTATAGCCACACCCTAAACTACCAGCATCTTGAAAGCCCATCAATAAATGTTGTGTACATTGTGAGGTAATCAATGAGGCACCCACAGCTTTGTGGTTAGAGCGACCGACTGCTGGAATGTCCTGGGTTCGAATTCTGCTAGAATGTTCAAAATGTAACACTAGATAAAACAAGAATCGCCAAAAGGCGATTGTAACCGAGCTGCCAACTTTCCTGGGGAAGAAGGTGGCTGCACACACTCAGGCCACCAGGCTTGTCACTAACCATTGCGTGACATAGCATCTCACGTGAGAGTTAAACATTTACTCATTTGAACATTGGAAGACTTTCGTAAAAAGAAAAAAGAGTACCATTTTTAAGTCGGGGCTGTAAAGTACCTTTTCAAATTCCACCATGATGATTTAAAATAAGCAAGCATGAAACAATAAGCGTTATTTTCACGAACCCCTCCCCCAATCCCTCTGCCCCAAAAATATAGTGTGACTAATTTGACTTAACCGCAAATTCCAAAAACTTATTGTTCTACAGGTAATAAAACGCTGTTTATAACAAGCCAGGGGCGGATCTAGGGGGAGGGTGCAGGGGGTGCGCAACCCCTCCCCCTTCCTGATATGACCTGCGGTTTTCTAATACAACTGGTATTCTGCAAAAAAAAAAAACTATGTGGTTTATTGGTGTTGAAGTAGAGCAAGAGACGAGTGCACCCCCTCCTAAAACAAATCCTGGATCCGCCCCTGCAAGCAGTACATTTCTCAATTCTGGTTCTTAAAACTAACAAAGCAAATTAATTTAAGTTTTGTTTTTGTCTGATATTGCGTTATAAGGCATTTCTTACTGTCCTAGTTAATATATATAATTATATATATCTGACTTGGTGGTCTACAATGAGCAAATTTTCTAGGACTATCCTTTCCTGCAAGGAATGACCTTTCACACGCAAAGTAACAATCGCAATAAGATAAAAGGAGACATAGGCTGTCACATTTTAAACGATTTAAACTTCAACATAAAGAGAAGAGAAAATTTAAAAGCGACCTATCCTGTCATCTTTTGAAAATGGCACTAATAAAAAGTGTCAATGATAGCTTGAAAAACGTCTTAAATCAATGGATGTATACACACACACACTCTAGCCACAAACACAGAGAGATTTGCAATCACGTTTTGGAAAACCCCAAAAGGTAATCATCGTAGCATCATCAAAGCGTAGTATGCTAGCTTCAAACACATCTTCATTGAATGGCTGCCATCACTTAAGATCGGTAAGTACCTCATTTCAAACCATCATAACGTCGAAGGTTGTCCTTTTTCACGACATAAATCCACAGGGGGGTAATCTTACATGAACCTTATAGACATTGCTCTGAAATAGTGTAAAGATTAGATGACACCGATGGTGCGCTCCCACTATGACTTCCCAGAAATACCACCCCCCTACCCCCACCCCGACAAAAAAATGAAACCTATTTTATAAAATGGGCCGCACCACAGGTAGCCCAGTTAACTACTGTGCAACAACAATCAGGAGATAGCCTGCGGCGAAGGCGTAATTGAACCTCGGTTTGTAAACAGGACATTGTTGTCCGCCATTTGGAACTTGAACGTTTTCATTTAAGACCGGACCCGAGAGACGTAATTGACTTCAAATGTACTCGGTTTCAGTTTTCCACACCAATTCACCAAACCCGCCCGATCCAAAATAATCCACCTTAGAAAGCGGTTTCAATAATTGGCGGATTCGGTGTGCAAATTCACCGGCTCCAAGTGAACGGAAGGGCGATTCGTACACGTGTTAAAGAGTATGCGGCTTTAAAAGTATCCGGATTTGTGCGGACGGCGCCATTGTTATGATTTCACGAATCCACGATAACAGATACTGGTATCGTGATCCGATATTCTGATTGGTCAGAATGACTGTTGACAAGTGAGCGAAGAGCGCTGTGTCACTGTCTTGTGTCCGTAAGTCCGTAAACTTGCACAAGAAGCCCACTATCTTGGTTGCTGACGCAACAGATGCACCTTGATTCTCAAGAGAACACTCGGAAACTCGTGATCACCTCAGGGATATCAGATGGACCTTCAACTCAACAACTGGGCAAGACTTACCACCAGTCGAATGTGGGAGTAGGGTATGTTCGAGTTTGGATTTGAGTTCTAGTTGGACTTCGAGTTAGACTTCGAGTCACAAAGTTCGAGTTAAAGTTCGAGTTACTAGTAAATTTCATTTCATTTTACATTGTGTAAAAAATGAAAAAAATGAAATGACATGATTATTGAACCTCGTTTCCAGGGCTATGCAAACATGGAAAACGTTTTCTATTGCTTAATTAGATAATTTATCGATGTGCGTTTGCCACGGTAGATTTTCATTAATAAATATTCCAAGCGATGTTCCAGGAGTAACGTGTTCTATCGGAACATTATATCAACTGAGAGCTCGAGTGGGCTCGACAACGTACTCAATTTTTGTCTAGATCCAATTAGCATAAATTCAGTTTTGGTAGTGTCCAAAGTAAGTTTGTTGGAAATAAACCATTTGTTTGGATTAACTAAATCGTGATTCAAATTTAGCTGTATTGAATTCACATCAACATCTGCATAAATGATGTGGCCGTGTCATCAGCATACATCCTAGGCTGGACTAGGCTGGCATGAAGAAAGACAGTTTGGTGGATCGTTTAGGTAAATAAGAAATAAACGGGGACCTAGGATTGTTCCCTGTGGTACCCCCCATTTAAGGTGGCTCCCTAGAGTAAATTGGCCGTGTGCAGCCTGAGCAGTAGTTTGGCGCGAGCTTTAAAATCGGCGCGACTTCTAGGCTTTTTTACATAATGCTTTTGCTTCCCTAATAAAATGCTCCACCTTAATGCTCCATTTTTCCACACTAAAATGCTCGGTCTCCCCAAAAAAGTCACTAAAATGCTCGCATAATGCTCATTATACAAACGGTTTTTTTAATTAATTTCAAAGTTTACACTTACAAAAACGTGCAAGTGTTGCAAGTAACAACGACAACGTGTACAAGTTCATAAATACAGCCAAAAAAAACAGCTTTATTAGGTTTTTTGTGAATTTTGAATTTTAGTCTTCAGTTTGTTTAAAAAAGCAGGAGCTCATGGGGCATGGGCTCCTGAAAAAAGTTAATTTCTATTTTATTTTCTCGGAAAAATTAATTTTCCGGGGAAAATGCCACTAAAATGCTCGAATAATGCTCAATGCTTTTGCCTCACTAAAATGCTCGAAAAAATGCTAGCATAATGTACAAAAGCCTAGCGACTTCCACGCAAAAATAAAACAAACATGGCCTCTCAGTTTCGAAATATTCCCCCAAAAAAACTTATTAACTTTCTGTTGAAGCTTATTGAGCANATTTCTATTTTATTTTCTCGGAAAAATTAATTTTCCGGGGAAAATGCCACTAAAATGCTCGAATAATGCTCAATGCTTTTGCCTCACTAAAATGCTCGAAAAAATGCTAGCATAATGTACAAAAGCCTAGCGACTTCCACGCAAAAATAAAACAAACATGGCCTCTCAGTTTCGAAATATTCCCCCAAAAAAACTTATTAACTTTCTGTTGAAGCTTATTGAGCAAAAAGTTTGGTTAGTTTAGGTCAACATTTATGACAGGAGACAATATTACACCGGGTTACAAGTCACGATTGTATGTATAAACAAAGTAGAAATTTCCAAAGACATCAGTTCTTTCGCTTCAAAAGTAGACAAACGTAAAATAGTCGAAATAAATGCTGAATGGAAGCTTTACAAAGAATACAAAGAAGAAAGTACGCTATCCCTAAGCGAAGCAATGTTGCTGTTTCTAGCCTTTGGTTCACGGTCAGTGGAAAGATGTGAAAGATCGAACCAAGTCCTGAACAAACGCTGAAGAATGTCTTCACCGGCGGAGCTCTTCGGTCACTTTATTCCCCTTGCATTTGATTTGATTAAGAAA